CAATAATCTCTTAAAGGAAGTACCTGGCCTATCAGCCCTTCCCCTATCCATCACCAGCTGTGGCCCCTATAATTAGGAGACTTGAGTGGAGTCCAGAGCTCATCTGTCTGCTTGAGTCCCTCGCCTCTAGAGCAGCCCATGTGGAAGTTTTGTTTTGTTTTTATTGGGTGGTTGGGTTGGGTGGGTTTGGTTTTTGCATCCTATTCTGATCTGTTTCTACCTCGTACGACCAGATAATGGGAGTGTAGGATGGAGGAAGAGTTTAAGGGAAGACGAAATGCTGGAGTTAAAGGAGAGGTTCTGGGAAGCTGAGGTTCTTGTGTGGGAGGGAACAGACGTTTCTCTTCTTGATGCTACACCTCCCTTCCCAGCAGCACCCCAGCTTGGGAAACAGGGCTCAGTATGCCTATGTGGCTTGGACGTATCCCCAGCAGGACCCATTCTCTCTGGGAGGGCAAGTCTTGCTAGTTGAATTTCTTCTTCAGGCCTGGCGCTGAACCCCCAGCACTGCCATGTTTATTGACAGTGACAGATAGTGGCTGTTCCAAGCAGGGCTAGGGAGTTTTGTGCTTCCAATAATCTCTGCGAACTCTGTCATTCTTTGATAGTGTTCTGTAAATACAGCTTCAAGACAGCTCTCCTAGTCCCTTCTGGCATCCTGACCATATTAATAAACATCTTTAAGCTTCAGTTTCCTGATCTCCAAAATATAAAATGTGATCTACAGCCGGGGGGTGGTAGCCCACCACTTTAATCTCAGCATTTGGGAAGCAGAGGCAAGTGGATCTCTGTGAGTTTGAGGCCAGCCTGGTCTACAAAGCAAGTTCCAGGACAGCCAGAAACCCCATCTCCACGGTGTGTGTAGGTGGGGCGCACACAAAAAAACCCCAATGTATTCTACAGCACTGAATTTCTATGAAAACCAAAGGAAAGAATGTTTGTTTGGTTATTTATTTATTTATTTATTTCCCAAGATGGGGTTTCTCTGTGTAGCTTTGGAGTCTGTCTTGGAACTTGTTCAGTAGACCAGGCTGGCCTTGGCCTGGAACTCACAGAGATCTTCCAGTCTCTGCCTCCTGAGTGCTGGGATTAAAGGTATGGGACATCACTGCCCAGTAGAGAGAACTTTTATATGGTCCTTAGCACAATGCCTGGCATACAGTTAGTACTTAATACGATTTTTTGTGTGTGTGTGATTTCTGTGGAAAGAATTGTAGTGGGGAAAAGGTGACAAACATATCCATTGAACCCCGTCAGCGCTGCTGCCTCCTGCCTTTTCTTTTCTCAAGGTTTCATAACAAATTAACTCAGAATTTGTCTCTCCTGTCTTGAGGTCCTCCCCAAATGGTGGGATTTTGGATGTGGCTAGCTGGCCTTTTAGAAACCAGGAAAATGATTCAGGAAGGTAAGAAATGAACCTCTGGGAGGTCAAAGTCTGGTTCCCTGATTCAGGGGCATCTCTGGGTTTCTATTCCAGGTTTGCATCATCTGGGCCAACAGGTTTTTTACCCTGGATAATGGGTTCCCAATGAGAAAGGAGGGGGATGGGAAGGTACCTAACTGAAGCCTGACCTATTTTCAATATTTTCCTTCCCTCAGTCAGTCAGTCAAACAGTCTGACCAAGATTTAGGCCACTCAAGATTTGCACAGGGTGTTGCCCTATTACCCAGAACAACCAACCTACTGTCAAGGAGAATAGATCTTGGATCAAACACTCAGCCACTCATGGACTCACTGCACACAGACACATGTAAAGGTGCTGTTTACATTCATAATCAAACCCCAGTCCCCTAAAAGCATGCCAAGAAGCTCTGACCAGAGCTTAGAGCCCTTGTTCCTGTTTCTAGTTCTTTCTTTTTAAAGATTTTAAAAATTTATTTTTATTTTATGTGTATGTGTGTTTTGTCTGCATGTATGTATGTATACCAAATGCATGTCTGGTGCCTGAGGAAAGCAGAAGGGGACTTCAGATCGACAGGACCTGTAGTTACACCAGTTGTGAGCCACTATATAAGTGCTAGGAACTGAACCCATGTCCTCTAAAAGAGCAGCTAGTGTTCTTAACTGCTGAGCCACCTCTCCAGCCCTGTTTTTCTATTTCTGATGTCATCCCCATTTCAGAGAATCCTGGGGAAACTAAAGACACAGTTGAAAACACAAACACAGAGGATCCAACAAAGCCTCCAAATAGTGAGGTCACTCCTCAGAATCCTAGACTTCAAAGAAGCCAAGTGGAGGTGCACACAATATGGAGCCAGGCTGCACTTTATGGAGTGTTGTTCGTTGAATCTGGTCTCTTGGGAGCTAAAATTGACTCTATATGTGTCTGTGTGCATGTGCATGCCAGGTGTGTGTGTGTGTAGTAAAGCTAGACTGTCTAGCTGGTGTGAGAGCAAAGGATGTTGTGTGGTTGTTTTTGTTTTGGTAGAGTTTTTGATGATTGATTGATTAATCGATTGATTGATTGAGACAGGTCTTCTACTGTAGTGACCTGGAACTCTTAAGAAGCCCAGGCTCACTTTGAACTCATAGTAATCCTCCTCCCTTAGCCTCTACATTACTTGCCTTGTGGGCAGGAGGAGCCGCTATACTGGCTATAAGTAGATTGTACTGAACTATACCTGCTGCCTTTTTAACTTAGTTTTTATTTTATGTGTATGGGTGTTTTGCCTGCATTTATGTATGTGCCTGGTACCCAGAGAGGCCAGAAGAGTGTGCTAGATTCTCTGGAGTTGGAGTTACAGGTGGCTGTGAACTGCCATGCTGGGTGTTGGAAATTGAACCCTTGTCCTTTGCAAGAGCAGCAATCACTCTTAAGTGTTGCATTAAACCATCTCTCTCTAGCCCCTACACCTGTTGTCTTAAGCTAAGATTTAAGCCAAAGAAAAGCCATCGGTCTACTCTAGTCTCCCTTGGGTGAGACAACACATTCCCTGGTTCCTTGGTTCCTCTGCTCTTCTTCTAGAAGTCCCTGGTAGAGAAAAAAGCAGAGTTTACATGTTAGAATCTTCTAGAACCAAGAAAAAGCCCAACCTTTCATTTTATTCCCTTGAATCCCACAAAAGAGGTAGAGAGTGCGAAGTAGGCTCATGTCCTCATCTCCACTGCAAGGAATATCCAAAGTCACTTCTTTGACTTGGGTGTATGAGTAACAGCTGCAACCCCAGCACTTGGGAGGCAGAAGCAGGAAGATTCAAAATGCAAGGCCATCCCATTGAGCTAGACCCTGTCTCAGAAGAAAAAAAAAAAAGGCTCTTTGTCAGGGAGAAAAGGCAGAGCCCTATGTGAAGTGCAGAGGAAACAGGGGTCAGAGGCAGCACCCCTCCCTCCCTTCCTCCCAGCCTCTGCCTTCATACCTCACACAGACTGGAAAACAACTTTGCTTCTTGCCAAGAGCAGGATTAGGCTGAATGAATTTCAGCTCTGGTTCCCTCTGCCTTCTCACTGGCTGCAAACGCCAGGGGAGTCTTGATCTCTGGCCCTTCCTTCATATGGAAACATGCTCAGCAAAAGCAGGACCACAACAGCTGTACACAGAGCAGACAGAGTGCCTTGGGGGCCACAGAGCAACTAAGGGAAGCATGCCATGTCAGAGGCAATGCTGGCACTGGGGTGGGGTGGAGGGTCTAGATAGCACCATGGGATTTTGGAATTTGAACAGCCCTGGCAGGGGCCCGGGTGGGGTCCCCTGGCTCTGACCCACTCAGGAAGGTCACTCAGAGCAGGGAGCCAGGGACAGAGCAGCTTCACCTCCCAGTTCTTCCACACAGTCTAGTGGGAGGAGGGATAAGGAGTGGAGGTTGAGTTCAAAACCAAGTTTTCCTGGAAAGCCTCTTTCCTCCTTTGTCTTAGCTCCTCCCAGTTCCTCCCATAGTGCTCTGCAACAGCTTCCTTGCTTGGGGCTCAAGGGGCAGGGCCAGAGAAAAGCCTGCTGTTTCTTGTCTGTCCCACTCTTGTTAGGTGTGAGGGAACAGAGCTGAAGCCTAGGTTTCAGAGGATCGGTGGCCAAGCCTGCTGTGCAGTCACTATCATTGGCCTTAACCCTCAGCTTACTTTTTCTTGGTTCCTTCATGTGAGCTCTGAGGTGTGTGTGTATGTGTGTGTGGGGGGGGGGGGCTCACTCATTGTTTAAGTTTCAAACCAAATAGCCCAGGGCAAACCACCAGCCTGCCAATATGCTTTTCTCTGCTTCCTAGGTGGCTGCCCTACTTCCCAGAATTCCATTACTTCTTTCTCTTGAGCTGCCTAAAAGCAAGTGAAGAAAGCTTTCAGGTAAAAAGAAAAAAAGAAAGCTGCCAGGCAGTCCCAGCACTCAGGAGGCAGAGGCAGAGGCAGGCGGATCTCTGTGAGTTCGAGGCCAGCCTGGTCTACAGAGTGAGCTCTAGGACAGCCAGGGCTGTTAAACAGACAAACCTTGTCTCGAAAATAAAAGAAAGGAAGGAAAGAAGGAAGGAAGCAGTGGCTAGGCCGTGGTGGCACACCTTTAATCCCAGCACTCGGGAGGCAGAAACAGGTGGATCTCTGTGAGTGCAAGGCCAGCCTGGTCTATAGAGTGAGTTCCAAGGCCAGCCTGGTCTATAGAGTGAGTTCCAAGGCCAGCCTGGTCTATAGAGTGAGTTCCAAGGCCAGCCTGGTCTATAGAGTGAGTTCCAAGGCCAGCCTGGTCTATAGAGTGAGTTCCAAGGCCAGCCTGGTCTATAGAGTGAGTTCCAGGGCAACCAGAGCTGTTACACAGAGAAAACCAAAACCAAACAAACAAAAGAAGCAGTGGATGCTGGGCTGGAGAGATGGCTCAGTGGTCCTTCCAGAGGACCTTAGTTCAATTCCCAGCACCCACATGGCAGCTCACAACTGTCTGTAACTCCAAGTTTTGCAAAGCAGAAAGGGGGGAATAGACGCACTCCGCCTACTTTGTCAGTAGACTACAAATCCCAACAATCTTGGCGGTGCGCAGCCGCATAGAGCTCAACGTGCCGGCTGCTGGAAAAGTGTGTCACTGGGGCACGAGGCGCTCCCTGGAATCACATGGTACCTGCTCCAGTGCCGCGTGCGGCCCGGGAACCCTGGGCTGCTGGCGCCTGCGCAGAGTCCTCTGTCCCAGGGAAAGGCTCGGGCAAAAGGCGGTTGAGATTGGCAGAGTGAAATATTACTGCTGAGGGAACGTAGCAGGGCACACGTCTCTCTGTGTGTCTGGGTGCCTCGTTTCTCCACCACCTACTTACTTCCTGGTTGCAGCTTCTCTCCTTTTGGGACTTTTGCACCCGAAGCTCCAGATTTGCTACCCTGCAGTGTTGCGGAACCTTCAGGAGTGGCATCGGTGCACTGCAGAGACCCTACCCTCCTTGCTACCTTACAGCCAGATCTGCTGCAGGCTGATTCCTTACACACATTCTCTCTGCTCTTCCCATGCAAATCAGACCTCGGTTGCCTCAGCGTCCTACCCTTCTGCAGGGCTGCAGCCCGGCCACCCCAAAACCTTATTGCTTGGTGCCTGGAATCCTGATTTTCAGCCGCGGGGTCCACTTGTCTCCCTCAGCCATTGCCCAGGGGGCGAGAGAGACCACTGCAACCTCCAGTTTGTGTCAAGGTCCAGTTTGAATGACCGCTCTCAGCCGGTGAAGACATGACGACTCTGGACTCCAACAACAACACAGGTACTAAGATTCTTATCATTATCCTTGCTCTGTCACTGTCTCCATTTCCATCCACGGCTTAGGAGAGGAACTTTGTAATTGTAAAGGATTGGGGATTCCCTCTGGCCGGTGTTTGCTACTGTGCTGAGAGCCATTAGGTACGATCTCCAGGGCGGGTTACTCTGGCTGGTAATGCGCCTAAAGCCTAATCATCACAACTACCCCTCCGAATTCCCCTGAGCCGCAGGAACTTGAATCTTGGGCAGATGAAACAGAGGGTGGATACTCGTGGCAAGTGGAAGAGTTTAGGGAGACGGACCGCTTTGAAGCAGTGTCGGGGAACCTCCCCATCTGTCCATCCCTTGCTGCTGTAGAATGCCTGTCGCTTTTCACTTTCAAGTTCTAGCCCACTTCCAGGGAGTCTGGGAAGCTGTGGGACTGGAGGGTGTGAAGGAACGGGTCAGCTCTTACAGGGGAATCCTCAGTGGCAGTAGGGAACTCCACCTGAGGAGTCGGGTGCTTGGGGCTCATCTCCAGGCAGGGCACCCACAGCGCCTGAACCTGGGGAGGGCTCACATGGCTGCAGAGCCGGGCCCACGTGCTGCATTTGTTTTCATTCAGTAGAAGCCGTGGCCACCATCCCATTGGTCATTGCTTCCCGGCCTCGTTACATAATGAGCTCCGCCCCTCAAGTTGCCTGAGCAACGCGTGTTCCCTTCTCTCCTCCCCTCAGTTGTCCCGGCCCAGCTTGGTTTTAGGGTCCAGCCTTCCACCCAGGACGCCGCCGAAGGGGCGGGGTGAGGGCGGGTTTCTGCTTGCGACAGAAGGGAAGAGAAGGCGGTGCTTCGAGTTCCGGGGTTCCTCGTTGGGGAGCCACGTGCGAGGGGCACACGTGGAGCAGGGACGTGAGGCCAGCTGAGGGCCAGGCTCCCGCCCCGCCCTTCTCCACCTAGATCTGGGTGAAGCTGGGCTGACTCACCGCCCCCGCCTGCTTTCTTTTCCTCTCCAACTGCCTGGTCCTCTTACCCTCCATGGCCGAGACTTGACTAAGACGGGGCCACCCCTGTGACTTGTTCTGGCCTCAAGTTTATGCGTCCCAACGAGACCTCACACCAGTTCATACTTACTCCCCTTTATTTTAATCGCACTAACATCATTTTACTGCATTTAGACTCAGCTTTTTCCCATGTTCGTTCCCAAAGTCTTTAACTGTTCCCCAAGTACCCTCATTGCCTGCCATGAATGTCTTCTCCGCCAAAACATGAGTTTCTGAGGATCAGAGCAGAAAGCCTACTTCTTTCCGTCATACTGTTTTTTTGTTGGTGTGTGTGTGTGTGTTTCTCACAGAAAGGAAAACAGACCAAAAGAGGAAGTGTTGGTTTCCTCTAGGTTGGAAAGCAAATTGGTAGTAATACAGATCTAGATTTAGAACTGGGGTCTTTGAGCAGTGCCTCTCACTTCAAAGTTGGAAGACTTTTTGAGTGACTTTCTCATGCCCTCTTTCAGGATGGATAAACTAGGTCAAGTTCATTTAGGTCCACATAAATATCCCATCCCCCACCCCAGCCGTGAAACAGTAGCCGCTTAGCCATTCTGCAACTATTTTATGGGCAGCTGGGTTCACCCTGACCAACCTTGAGCTATTTTAAGGTTGCCCTGCCTAGTTTAGTGTGTGTCAGTGGGTGAGTGAGACATGTGCTTCTGCAGACACGGTGGCATGGCATGTGTCAGCGAACACACGTGTCTGGGGATCCTCCCTTTCCCCACTCCACCCATGGCAGGCCAAGCAAAGTGCTTGGCAGAGGTTTGGTAAGCAAGTCACTTTTCTCTTCTGCAAATACCACAGAACAAATACCTGCAGAACCACCTGGTTGGCGGTGTAGCCATAGGGACAAAGTCCCTGAGTGGAGCTATAGAGCCAAAGTCATCATCTGGCTGAGACCCGAAAGGGGGAATGCCTAAATCCCCAGGCTGGACAATTTATTCCTCTCTTGTATCTTCTGCAGCTCATATCTCTAAGTCTTTCTTGGACTCAGAGTCATTGTGACTCATCGCTTGCAGGCCAGGGGCGCCAGGCTGTTCCTTACTCTATGAGAAAATGTCTTTGGGTTTGAAGGGAAGGTGACTGTCTTACAGTAGTATGACCTCTTGGCTAGCCACTCTTCATGGTCCATCACTGGATAGGTGTTAGTGTATAATTGGCAGCAGGTTTATTTGTGAATGGCTGTCAGCTGCCCATCCCAGCCCCAAGTGTACCCCTTATAACTAAGTTACTAGCTGCAGTCAGTATTCCCTCAGGAAAATATCTAGGGCAGGGGTTCCCATGTATGAGATGCCCAGTGGGGGTTATGCCTCACCCAAAGCAGAATTTGAATGTATTGTGCAAATAAATGGCTATGGGTGTTTCTTGTGACTAGGTTGACTATCATGTAGTAGGTGATGGAGAATTTCTTAAGGTTGACCATGCCTACCTAGTGTGTGTGGGAGAATTGTTTATTACCCAAGCTTAGGGGTTCTACATGCATAACTTCTAAGAGCAGTATTTTGGTGATGAGCAGGTGGTGCCCTTGAACCACACATGATGGTTGATACCCTTCTCTTGCATTGTCTTACTAGGTGGCGTTATCACCTACATTGGCTCTAGTGGCTCCTCTCCCAGCCGGACCAGCCCGGAGTCCCTCTATAGTGACAGCTCCAATGGCAGCTTCCAGTCCCTGACTCAAGGTTGTCCGGCATACTTCCCACCGTCTCCCACCGGCTCCCTCACCCAGGACCCTGCCCGCTCTTTTGGAAGTGTACCACCCAGCCTCAGTGATGATAGCTCCCCTTCTTCAGCATCATCGTCATCCTCCTCCTCCTCCTCCTCCTCCTCCTCCTCCTCCTCCTCCTCCTCCTCCTCCTCCTCCTCCTCCTCCTCCTCCTCCTCCTCCTCCTCCTCCTCCTCCTCCTCCTCCTCCTCCTCCTCCTCCTCCTCCTCCTCCTCCTCCTCCTCCTCCTCCTCCTCCTCCTCCTCCTTCTATAACGGGAGCCCCCCAAGAAGTCTACAAGTGGCCATGGAGGACAGCAGCCGAGTGTCTCCCAGCAAAGGCACCAGCAACATTACCAGTGAGTAAATGCCCTGTGGATTTAGGGGAAAGGAATTGAGCCAGGATTCAGTTGATAGTTGGTTTCCATCTGACAGTTACCTTCAGGTCTATGCCCTGATCTTTGGGATTTCTCTTTAGAGTTGTACTGGTTTCCGTCCAGTCCAGTCACCTGAGTGTTCCTAGACACAGCAGCCTCCTCCTTAGCCCTTCCCTCTGACAATCTTCAGCCTGGAAAGCCTCCATATCTCAGGTCACTCAGGCCTCTCTGCTTACCCTCTGCCTGTCTCCTCCCACAGAGCTGAATGGCATGGTGCTACTGTGTAAAGTGTGTGGGGACGTGGCCTCAGGCTTCCACTATGGCGTGCATGCCTGTGAGGGCTGCAAGGTGAGGCGGGTTGGGGTTGAGGACCCAGGCAGGTGATGCCTTCCCCCCATGATGCAGGGGCTCAGCTTAGATGAAGAGGTTCACTAGTCACCCTGCCTTCCAGGGCTTTTTCCGTCGGAGCATCCAACAGAATATCCAGTACAAACGGTGTCTGAAAAATGAGAATTGCTCCATTGTTCGTATCAATCGCAACCGATGCCAGCAGTGTCGCTTCAAGAAGTGTCTCTCCGTTGGCATGTCTAGAGATGGTAAGGCAGTATCCCCATGTCTCCTCCCTGCCCCATATCCTTCCACCCATTTTCTACCTTAATCCTCCCCGTGGGGGGGGGGAAAAAAAGCCTTGAGTTCTGACATGTGATACTGCGAATGTCATTGCCCATGTGTTAACCCTCTTGGACAAACACGCTTGTGTGTGTGCCCCGCCCCCCCCATCCATCTACTATCATATCCTTTGAATGGGCGTGGCCTTGTTGGTTTCAGTTCTGAAGTGGAACTCCAGCTTTCAGGGTCTTACCCCTTTAGGAGGAAGGAAGGAAGAGAGGCAGGCATGTGAGTATGTGAGAACTTCCTGACACGGCTCTCATCCTGTTGCAGCTGTGCGTTTTGGGCGCATCCCCAAGAGAGAGAAGCAACGGATGCTCGCTGAGATGCAGAGCGCCATGAACTTGGCCAACAACCAACTGAGCAGCCTGTGTCCTCTAGAGACCTCACCTACCCCACATCCCACCTCGGGTTCCATAGGCCCCTCGACCCCTCCTGCGCCAGCCCCCACTCCTTTGGTGGGCTTCTCTCAGTTCCCACAACAGCTGACACCACCCAGATCCCCCAGCCCTGAGCCCACTGTGGAGGATGTCATATCCCAGGTGGCTCGGGCCCATCGAGAAATCTTCACCTATGCCCATGACAAGTTAGGCACCTCACCTGGCAACTTCAATGCCAATCACGCATCAGGTAGCCCTTCAGCTACTACCCCACACCGCTGGGAAAGTCAGGGATGCCCGCCTGCCCCCAACGACAACAATATTTTGGCGGCTCAGCGTCATAATGAAACACTGAATGGTCTATGCCAGGGCCCCTCCTCCTACCCTCCTACCTGGCCCTCTGGCTCTGCCCATCACAGCTGCCACCAACCCAACAGCAATGGGCATCGTCTGTGCCCCACCCACGTATACTCGGCCTCAGAAGGCGAGGCGCCTGCGAACGGTCTACGGCAAGGCAACACCAAGAATGTTCTGCTGGTGAGGGCATGGAGCCAATGTGGAGAGAGAGAGGGAGGGGGCCTGGAAGGCTGGACCTAGAGGAAGGCAGGTGGTGTCAGCTGTTTGTGGGAACTGGCGATGGTGGGAATACCCTCTGCTCAGGAAATGACCCTGAAACCTGGGTTCTCCCTGGGAACTCTTAATCGTCACTTAACACCTGAATGCTATTTTAAGCCAGAGACCCATCCTCAGGGGCCATAGCTCTTAGCCCAGGCAGAACCTGGAAAGTAGTCCTGCTGGGGGAGCCCAGGTGAGGAGCCCACCTGGCTGACATGGCCCTCCTAACTCCATCGTCCCCATAGGCATGTCCCATGAACATGTATCCCCATGGACGCAGTGGCCGGACTGTGCAGGAGATCTGGGAAGACTTCTCAATGAGCTTCACACCTGCTGTGCGTGAGGTGGTAGAGTTTGCCAAGCACATCCCCGGCTTCCGTGACCTTTCTCAGCATGACCAGGTGACCCTGTTGAAGGCTGGCACCTTTGAGGTGAGCAATACTTGATGTTCCCTGCTCTTAACTACGGGAAGGAGCCAGTGGGAATAGCTCAGTGACTAGGGTGGGGAAGGGGTTCAGGGACTTTGGAACTGTGTTCTTTCTGATGGAGGAGGTGGAACTCCCATTACCGCCTCTGGGTATGTGGGGCTTCTGTCCTCCAAGCCAGTGTCTACTCCAGACTCACTGTATCAGAGTAACACCTGGCAGATGGATGGTATTTAGTTAGATGCACATCCCAGAACTGGTGTTACTTCCACCTGGGCCCTCCCCCCACCATTGGCCATTCAGAGGCCACCCCTTACTGGCAATCTAAGGCCACACCCTTGAAGTTTGGGGGAAACTGTAGGGAATCATTTGGCAAATGCTCCTCCCTCCTCACTCAAAATGCCTGTCCTCCCTTCAGGTGTTGATGGTGCGTTTTGCATCATTGTTCAATGTGAAGGACCAGACAGTGATGTTCCTGAGCCGCACAACCTACAGTCTGCAGGAGCTCGGTGCCATGGGCATGGGCGACCTGCTCAATGCCATGTTTGACTTCAGCGAGAAGCTCAACTCCCTGGCGCTTACCGAGGAGGAGCTGGGCCTTTTCACCGCTGTGGTGCTTGTCTCTGCAGGTAGGCCAAGCTCTCGCCTGACCCTGGAGGAGGCACACGCAGTTCAATTTAACATACCTTTTATGGAGTACCTACTCTATGCCAGGCCCTGCACTGGGCACTGGGGTACAGACATGATTCAGACACAGTCTAGCTTGGGAAACAGACTCATGCCCGACTAATTATAAAACAGTGAGATAAGTGTCACAGTATTAGCATGAACCAAGAAAGCACAGACAACTATTTCTGCCTGGGAGAGCTGGGGAAGGAGGTGACACTTGAGTAGGGCCTCAAAGGGACAAGATAACTGCCAGGCATAGTGGGGGAAGGGCATCCCAGGCAGGGGGTACTACAGAGCAAAAAGCAAGGGAGCTTGGCCATATGTGGCTTGCTCGGGGTAGGAGGGTGGTCTTGAGGGGTGGGAGGTGGCCAGCCTGTGGCCTTGCTCCCAGCATTTGGGCATGCCCTGCTCTGGGGCAGAGGCCTGGGAGGAGGAGTAGCGCCCTCCTTTTCCTCCCCCATCACCCTCCAAGGGGCCTCAGGGCGAGGCTGCCTTGCCTGCCAGGTCCTCGCAGACCTCCGGGTCCTCGTCAGAGGAGGAGGAGGAGCTCAGGGAGCCTGCCTCACTGCTGTCGTCTTCCCCACAGACCGCTCGGGAATGGAGAATTCCGCTTCGGTGGAGCAGCTCCAGGAGACGCTGCTGCGGGCTCTTCGGGCTCTGGTGCTGAAGAACCGGCCCTCGGAGACTTCCCGCTTCACCAAGCTGCTGCTCAAGCTGCCGGACCTGCGGACCCTGAACAACATGCATTCCGAGAAGCTGCTGTCCTTCCGGGTGGACGCCCAGTGACCCGCCCGGCCGGCCTTCTGCCGCTGCCCCCTTGTACAGAATCGAACTCTGCACTTCTCTCTCCTTTACGAGACGAAAAGGAAAAGCAAACCAGAATCTTATTTATATTGTTATAAAATATTCCAAGATGAGCCTCTGGCCCCCTGAGCCTTCTTGTAAATAACTCTTCCCCCACCCCCATCACCATGCTCCCCACCCCCCCTATTTAAACCACTCTTGCTCTCCCACCCTCCTCCAGCCCCCCGATTTGTTCTGTTCCTGTCTCAAATCCAATAGTTCACAGCTGAGTTGGCTTCTGTGATGTGTGCTCGTTTGGGGGGGGGGTAGAGGGGACTACTGCCAAGGCTGGGGGGGGCACCTCTCCATCTGGTCAGCTTGTGGGGTGGGTACTCTGCCAGCAGATGGGAGAATAAGGGGGAACAGCACGCAAGTCTAAGGGGGGGGTGCCCAGGGGAGTTATTTTCATCATATATTTATTACATAAATATATAGTAAAATAGACGAGCAACAATTACCATAAAAATATCTTTCTTTAAAATCCTGACCCAAAACACAATGGGGTGAAAAATCGCACATAACAGACATACTGATTGTCAACTGTGGGGCAGGAGTAGGAGCCCCTCAAGTCACCCCTACCGGTCCCACCCCTCTCTGGGGAAGGGACCTATCTCCTTCCCTGTTTTCTAGCCATAACCCCCCACCCCCACCCCAGCACCAGCTTCTCATACATTCAGTAGCGCCTCTGGGTAGTGTCCCCCTCCACCCAGGAGTTCCTAGGGCAGGAAGTACGTTCCCCCTAATGGACGGTGTCTATGTCACACGCCCTGCCCTGCCCTCTCCCAGCCCTATAGACCCACCACCCGGGGAAGGGGTAGGGGCTCCTCCTCCCCCACCCTCCCCAAGTCTGAGCAGGGAGGAGGCTGGATGAGGTATGTGTGTTATAAGTGATGGGAGGGGGGAATACTGAGATGGAGAGGCAGTGGTAGGGGCAGGGTAGTGGTCATGGCTCTGGCACCCCCTTGTCCTGGCCTGGCCCCCCCCATCCTTCTCCCAGCAACCCATCCTCCCATCAATACTGCACCTGCTGCCCCACCTGGCCTGCCCTAGTGCCCCGGGCCAACATTGGGGGAAGGCATGCTAAGCACCCATGCCAAGACCAACCCCCCATTAGCACCAATGGCCCCCAGGAGAGGGCCCTGTCCCCCACTTCCACAGCAGGGACTGGGACAGCTGCCTCTCTAGAGCAGGTGCGTGGCACTCCTGAGTCTCTCTGGCTCCTCCCCACAACATGTACTCACTCATACAATCACACATAGGAACACACATACACTCCACATCACTGAGGGGAAGGAAGGGCTGAAGGGGAGGGGAAGGGGAAGGGCTGAGGGGAAGGGGCTCACAGCTCATATGACTTGGGGAAAGGGGGGGATTCCCAAGTGCCTGTAAGAGGCCATGCCCATGGCTGAGAACGGGAATGGAGAAGGAGGAGTGGAGCCAGGGAAAGGAGGGAGACAGCAGGCAGGTCAGGAACTCCACTGGGCCCCAAGGTATAGGAGGAAGGTATGAGAGGGTTTACCCATGGGACTGGAGGAATATGGAAATCAGTACCCCAGGAGAGAGAAAGAAGATAGAGACAAAGATAGCACAGGTGGCCCAGGGGCCCCAAGGGGTGGGGCAGGCACATGCACAGGTGACAGGAGATGCTCCTCCAGGCCCTCTGCCCAGTTGGAACACCTGAACAGTGGCAGAGGACACTGCCCTGGGGACAGTGAAGCACTGCCTTCCTTGTGTGTGTGTGTGTGTGTGTGTGTGTGTGTGTGTGTGTGTAGGGGCTGTGGCAGGCTGAGGGTCAGAGTGGGGTGGCAGGTTCCCCACTGCTTAAGACATTTTTGCCCCAATAGTGCAAAGCGCAGGAAGCCCTGGCACCCCTCCCCCGCCCCCTGCCCCATTCCCCATGGCTTCCGGGGGGCATCTATGTCCACCCATCCATCCCTGCCGACATGCAGCCCTGAGCCCAGGGCCACTGGTCTGCTGTTTCTCCCTCTCCTCCCATCCCTCCCACTCATGGGAGGGCCACCTCCTCCCTCCCTCTCTCTGCAGAGGAGTGGGCTGTAGCCAAAGGGAGGAGAAGGAGGAGAGGAGGGCAGCTCACCCAAGCGCAGACCAACAGAGCACTCCTCACCAGAGGGTGGGAGATGGCTCAAGCCAAAGTCCCTGAATTAGAAAAGAAGAGGGGAGAAGGTTCCCAGGGGCAGAGGGGTGGCTGGCCTAAAGAGCTTCAAAGAAAACAGGAGGAGTGCCAAATGCCTCCTCCCCTGGGCCCCTAAGTGCCACTGATAGAAACTCCCACTGCGTGCCAACCTGCCCTACGTCTGGGTTAGTGCATCAAGTGGGACTAAGGAGGGCAAAGGGAGCCCAGAAAACAGACAGGAAACAGAGTCCCACAGAGGCGGAGGTTCTGGGAGACACACATGTCCACCCCCACCCCCACCCCCTTGCAGCAGCATCTGGGTTGTAGCTAATACTGCAGGGTATGAGGAGGGAAGGAGCCTGGGCCACAGTTTTTCCTGTGTGTGGGTGCCAAGGTGTAGGAGGAGGGAGACAGGAGGCCCCTGGGGCTGGGCACTTGAAAGGGGAGCTGTGTGGGCAACAGGGCAGGCTGGTGAGGGGCCAGCTGGCATCCAGCGTGAGAGGTAGATGGCACTCAGCGGGCACGAGTGGCAGACAGCAGAGGAAGTACTGGGGTGCGGTGCCAAAGGGGCACAGGGTGGGGGCAAGGCAAGGGGGCGCCAGGACCCTGTTCTGTCATCTCACAGCTCGAATCAGCAGCCCTACCCTTGTAGGTCTGCTGGGGGCATTTCTCTCTGGGGTCAGAAGGGCAGCTCTCAAAGTGCATGGGGGTGGGAAGGGGGGGGGGTCCTTCCCCTTGGGCCAGCCTCAGCTAATAACTTAATATCATCTCTCTCTCTCTCTCTCTCTCTAACATTCTCTTTTTTGTCTTTTTTTTTTTTTTTGTCTTTTCTGTCTAGTTTTTCTTCATTTATATTCTCCCCTCGCTTGGTTTCCAAAGTGCAGTAAGGATGACTACCATTTTAGCCTCCAGGGGAGGAGCCAAGCCAAACTGTCCTTTGTACCCAGGACCCAGGTATTTGGGGAAGTAGAGACCTGTGGCCTGAAGGGAATCTAGGCCAAGAAACTTGGCAGGGCTCTCCTGTGTATATAGGGGTGAGTGAGGGCATCTGCCCCTATTCCTCATTCCTCCTGACCCTACAATCAGGATGGCTTGTCCCTCTTATTTCTTCCTCCCTTCCCCTATTTTCTTAGAGGTTAGGGTCCCAGAAACTCTAGGACTTAGGCCCCAGCCTCCCACACTGTCTTTCATAGCAAGTTCATTTGTTGCCCTGTCCAAGGGCTGGAGGAGGTTCTGAGGGGGACTGGGCAGTGCAGGGGTATATGGGAGCTGCATCTATCCAAGGATGGGAGGAAGGAGAGAAGAGGTGGGGGGTTCTCCCTCAGCCCCCAGCTCTGTCCCTTCTCTCCAGGCTCCTCCCCACCAGCTCCGCACACCCTCTGGCCGCCTGAGGCTTTAGACTTCCTGATCCTCAAAGACCTCGAGGAAGAGTGGGGGAAAGAGTTCGGTGGGGCACTCGACTTTCATGTGGAGGAAGCGGCTGGCGTGGCAGGCCCCGATCATGCGGAGGTCAGTCACCTTCATCAGCAGCTTGGGCCAGAAGTGTGGAATGTTGTGTTTGCGGTGGTTGACGTAGTGCTCGAACGCCAGCAGGTACGCCTCCTGACTCTTCTCAATCTTGTCCACACACAGCAGGCCGGAGCGGTCTGCAGGGAGGGAAAGCAGGAGGCATGAATACCGAGGGTCTGAGAGAAATGCAGAAGAAACATTCAGGAGGGCATGAAGGGACTCTGAGGCAGAGACGCCAGGAGAGATCAAGGCTGGGCAGTGGTGGCGCACGCCTTTAATCCCAGCGCTCGCTCGGGAGGCCGAGGCAAGCAGATTTCTGAGTTAGAGGCCAACCTGGTAGGAATAGGTGACCGGGACTCAGGAAGGCCCCTAAGAACCTGAGGAAGCGATCCATGAGGCGGGTGGAGAAACAGAGATGGCATTGAGAAGAGAGGAAAACTGGAGGCAGAGGGGGAACAGAGGCAGAGAGAAGGTTGGAGATCAAAAGCAATAAATAGTCTGGAGACCAAACACGAGGACAAAAAAAATAATTAAAATATAGGACTAGGGGGCAGAGGAGGGACTGATAAACAGAGAGGGAGCCGGGGAGTGAAGAGATGAGACAGTGCCTATGCAAGATCAATAAAGGGGAAAGCAAGAACCCTTAGGTGTAAATAAACTCTAGAGCTCCTGAGAGCTTCTGGGACCTCTCAGCCATGGCAAGATACCTGTTGACATTAGCAGCACAGCTTGCAGCAGAGCCACTTCCGTGTCATCCAGATTAAAGGCAGAGAGTGACTTGCCCAGTTCAAAGATGGCGTCAGAGACTACACCCAGGCCGCCATTCTTGAGCTGTTCGCGCTTAACCGCCATCTCCCCACTCAGCGTCAGGGTATCGCTCTCAGGGTCATAGCGGACAGCTGCCCGCAGGGACATGATCTCCATGCAGCACCCTTTCAGGAGGATGATCTGGTCTTCGCAAGGCAGCTGTGGAACAACAGGAGCACAGGCCACTCAGTACATCCTCTCCATGCCCCACAACCTCCCCACCCTCTTTGCTGGGCCATGGCCACTTATGCACTTAAACCCCACAGTTAGGCCCAAGAGTGAGGTCCCATCATTCTTCCAGTCCTCTTCAAAACACTGACGTACAGGGCATTTAGGTAAGTTGGCCAAGATCCCACAGCTAGTACAACAGTCTATTTCCAGTTAGTGCTGTGCAGAATGAAGAAATGAGTCATGCTGCCTGGAGGTAAAATGGTCACTCAAGGAGTGTGTGTGTGTGTGTGTGTGTGTGTGTGTGTGTGTGTATACACAAGCTACGAGAATCACCCCCTGTCCAGAAAATATCTGAGGAATACCCAGTGAGGCTGTGTGACCTCAGAAATGATCCTAGGTTCCCTCTAGCAAGTCTCTCCTTCCATTTGCCACTCACCTCGGAGAACATGGGCAGTTTTTTGGCAAAGTCCACCACACGGGTGATGGCCGGGGTGATGATCTTGGTAAACTCGCTGAAGGCCTCTAGGTCTACCTTGTCTCCATCTGGCATGGAGACAATGGGTGACTGGCCAATGTCATCCGGCTAGAGGGAGAGAGATGAGGGTCACTGGGGCTGTGGACCCCTTTCAACTGCTCACTGAGACTCCCTGCCCACCAGGGGGAGCTCCAAGGCAGCCTGGGGGAAAAAAATCCCAGCCATGACTGTGTTCCAAAAGGATAGCCAGGGCGAGCATTTCAAATTTGCTAGTGCTGATAATAGTGAGAATAGTAGTCAATAAATCGTAATAAAACACAGCCATAACGACTGAAAACACGGCAGCAGACCATAGGCTGGCCACACTGTTTTACATAGCTCCTTTTAATCCTCATCACAAATCTTTATGGAAGACAGCACTTCATAGACAGAAGCCTAGCACAGTTAAGTGGTATGACCAGAGTCACACAACCAGTCCTTAGTGTAATTTCCATCCCTTAGCATACTCAGGGAGCCTGGCCCCAGTGGTCCATCGCCTTCCGGCCCTCAACTTGGCAGTAAGTTCTGTGAGGGTTCAATAAAACGCCTGGAGCCCTGCAGGTGCCCCACAATACTGTTATGTTGACTCTGTCCTCAGTCCCTGTGGGTTAGCTCTACCTTGGAATTCAGGAAGATAAGGCCCAGTTCTCATGGAGCATCCCACTGGATGGAACAGACAGGCTCCAGAAAGCAAAGGTGTAGAAAACCAGAACTGGGGGCTGGAGAGATGGCTCAGTGGTTAAAAGGAGCCCGGTTCAATTCCCAGCACCCACATGGGAGCTCACAACTGTCAGTACCTCTTGTTTCAGGGGATCCAACACCCTCACACAGACAGACACGCAGGCAAAACACCAATGTGCAATACAAATAAATAAATTACAAAAAGAAAAAGAAAAGAAAGCCGTAACTGCCAACAGGTACAGTGCGCCAGGTTTGGGTTGGATTAAACCAAGAAGGCTCCCAGGAGAGTAGAACCTCTGCTCTCTGGGTGTGCATGTTTTCTTACTCCTCTGCTCTCTTGGTGTGCATGCTTCCTTACCAGGAATTTTCGCCTCTGCTTCCAGTGGCTGCCCTGGGCGTTGGTGCTGCGATGGGCCTCTGTGGCAACGTGGATCAGATCCCACTCTTCAGGAGTGGGCTCTGGTCGCTGCTGCAGCGATCGGATCATCTCTTCCTTCCGTCTCCGCTCCCGGTTCTGCTCAATCAGCTTGCGTTTGGCCACTCGCTTCGAATCATCTAAAACCACTGTTGACAGACAAAAGACACTTTGCATGGCAACCCCCACCCCCCCAACGATGCTCAGAAATTGCTTGTCCTCGTACAAAGGTCAAGTGACTTCCCAAATCACTTAGCAATAGGGTGGCACAATACAAACCATGTTTAATCACTGGAACCCAGTCAACTCTAAATAGGCTGGCTTGAGGAATACCATGTTCTGGTTTGACCTATGGTATGAGGAGTCGCTAGCTGACCCTTCTTCTCCAACCACAGTTGAGGAAATACCCCCTCTTCATTTAGATGTGCCTTCCCTGGGGTGCAGGAACCCTGCTAGGTTGGGTACACAGGAATTTTTACTTAACAACTCCCTCTCTAAGGTCCTGAAATGGCAAGAAGCATCAAGCCTACCCAGGAATTGCACTTCCTTTGGGATGAGGGCACCAGATCCCAAATCTGAGATCGAGACTTTACAATCAGCCTGACCTGGACTAGGGCTGCACCACTCTGCCCTGAAGGTCCCCAGGAAGGGATCTGCTAGTCTTATACTCAACCCCACCATAGCTGCTTGACTCCATTGCCCCATGGGTGCCTCTTACAGTCCATGGCCATGCCCACAGCGATGCACTTCTTAAAGCGGCACAGCTGGCACTGATTCCGGGTGATCTTGTCAATGACGCAGCAGCTGTCATATTTGCAGGAATAGGTGGGATGGAGATTCTTCTGGATCGTGCGTCGAAAGAAGCCCTAGGGTGGGGACACATGAAGCAGGTTTTCGCCATTATGACTTCCTCTCCTGAGCCAACCACACAGTTCATCGAGTAAGACTGGGGCACGGGAAGCAAGTGTCATCTGGCATCCACATGTCACTATAGGCCCAGGATTGCTGGATCCTACCAGGCCAAAGGAGCTGAGAAATACATGAAACTTCCTTCAGGCTGCAGAGGGATGAGGAATGTCTGTGGTGGCAGAGCAGGGAATGTAACAGAAAGCATTGGGCCTGGGCTGGTGTGGGCGTTATGAGGCCTTGGAAGTCTACTTTAAATCATTCTTAAATTTTCATCATATATTTTCCAAGACAGAGTCTCATGTAGCCTAAGCTGGTCTCACACTCACTGTGTAGCTAAGTCTGACCTTGAACTTCTGACCTCTGGAGTTAGGATTTCAGGCAAGTGCCACCACAGCTGGTTTACGTGGTGCTGGGATGGACCCCAGGGTTTGTGCACACTAAGCAAGCACTCAACCAAAAGAGCTGCGTTGCCAGCCCTAGAAAAGCCAATTAATATCTTGCCTAGCTTGCTTAATGACTCTAAAAGCAATGCTGACCCCAAAAGCATTCTCATATACAATGTTTTGCCTATTTTTTTTTTTTTTTTTGTGCAGACGGGATTTATAAAATAGGAAGATCAATATTCAAGAAAATGCACTGAGTGGGAACATTAATAACTTGTAATTTTTGTTTTTGTTTTTGTTTTTCTGAGACAGGGTTTCTCTGTACTGCTTTGGAACCTGTCCTGGAACTCACTCTGTAGACCAGGCTGGCTTCGAACTCACAGAGATCCGCCTGCCTCCAGAGTGAGGAGATTAAAGGCGTACGCCACCTACACTGGCTGTAAATTTTTTAAAATCTGATGTTTTAGTCTTTGTTTTAAATGAAAAACCTGCAGAATCGGGAGGTTAACAACGTGAAGTGCGGATTCCTGTTGAATCTTACTACATGATGTGCACTTGGCATGTGCCTTTCATGAATTTTATATTTAACCTTGACACCAGAACTGGGCCTTCTGTGGAAGACATTAAGATCTGAGAGTTCAGACCTGGAGTGAATTAAAATTACTGCACCAAGATGCAGGCTCCTGGGCCTCATTCTAGACCTACAAAACCAAACTCTAGAAGTGGAGACAGGGCACTTTGGGAGATGTTCCCCTGGGACCCAGATGTCCTTGGAGCTAAGGATTCTTTCTCTTGACTTTGTTGCTACTACGATTTCCAGGAACATTGCTATGAAACTTGGAATCTCAACTGGTTTTGGTTTGGCCAACAGTAGGAGAGAAAAACTTCAGGGTTCCACACTGTGTGTATGCCTTTGTGCGTTAGTTTGAGAGAAGGTCTTGTTTTGTGAGGCAGGGTTTCTCTGTGTATCAGCCCTGGCTATCCTGGAACTCACTCTGTAGACCAGGTTGGCCTTGAACTCAAGAGATCCACCTGCCTCTGCCTCCTGAGTGCTGGAATTAAAGGCATGTGCCACCACCATGGCCCAGGTTGAGAGAGGGTTTTATGTGAGCCAGGCTAGCTTCAAACTCACTATTTGGCTAAGGATGGCCTTGAACTTCTTCTGTCTCTCTCTGTCTCTCTGTCTCTCTCTCTTTTAAAGATTTATTTATGGGCTGAAGAAATAATGACTTAGCGGTGCAGAGTACTGGCTGCTCTTCCAGAGGTCCTGAGTTCAATTCCCAGCAACCATATGGTGGCTCACAACCATCCATCATCCATAGTGAAATCTGGTGCCCTCCTCTGTTAGGCAGACATGCAGGCAGAACACTGTATACATAACCAATAAATCTTTTATTTATTTATTTATTTATTTATTTATTTATTTATTTATTTTATGTATATGAGTGCTCTATCTGCATGTATACCTTTGCACCATCAGAGGGCATCAGATCTCATTATAGATGGTTGTGAGTCACCATGCAGTTTCTGGGAATTGAACTCAAGACCTCTGGAACAGCAGTCAGTGCTCTTAACCTCTGAGCCATCTCTCCACCCCTTGGCCTTCAACTTCTAACTCTTTTGCTTCCATCTTCTGTATATGGGACTATTGGCATACACTACCATCCCTACTGGTTTCACCTACTTTTAAATGGTTTCTTTCTGGAAAGACCTGTATTTGCAGGAGGCAGTGGTCCTGAAAGAGCCATACAGGTTGCAACAGGTTGAATCTAATAGGCTTTGTCAAGTCTGTGACCTTTGACCCTCTGATAGAAAAGAACCTTTGGTCATCTTTTCTTCTATGTCCCCATTATGACCCTTCAGCACAGGTTCTCACCTTTTCAGGTACATTGGGATCACCTGGGGCGCTTGTTAAAAGCAGACTTCTGGGCTCCAGCACAATAAGGTTGGGACTAAGTAGGGGCAAATGCAGCCTGGGAATCCGCATTATAACTAGTGCTGTAGGTGACCCAGGAATCAATCATACCCCCCACCCGTGTGTGTGTGTGTGTGTGTGTGTGTGTGTGTGTGTGTGTGTGTGTGTACACATATATGTGCATGTACACGGGGAGGCCAGAGGTCAACATCTAGTGTCTTCTTCAATCACTCTCTGCCCTTTTGATCTCATTTGTATTTGACACAGGGTCTCACTATGGAACTAGCCAGCAGGCCCCAAGGATCTTCCTGTTTCTGCCTTACAGTTTTGGATCACAAACACATATGCTGCCATCCTTGGCTTTTTATATGGGAGCTGGGGATTTGAACTCACATCCTCATGCTCAGGCAGCAAGTGCTTTCCCCACAGGGCCATCTTGCCAAACCTCCACGATCCATATTTTGAAAGACTCTGATTCTTGTTTGCAGATTGCTTCTTTGGTTGACTGCAAGTAGCTTGAGGGTAGGGCATATCCTCTATCCCTCATGCTTTTTGCTTTTTGACACAGGATCTCAATGTGTAGTCCTGGCTGGCCTGAAACTCTCTATGTAGATCAGGCTGGCTTCAACTCATAGGCAACAGCTTGCCTGTGCCTCCAGGGTGCTGGGGTTAAAGGTGTGCACTACTGTGCTGCAAATTCTTTTTCTGAGATAGGGTCTTCCTATGTAGCTGAGGCTGGCCCAGAAAAAAAAAAAACATATATATATGTATGTATGTATGTATATCCATCCATCCCAGGGACTCATGATCTTCATGCCTCAGTTTCCCAAGTCCTGGAATTACAAGTGTGCAGTACCACTCTTGGCTGCTCACCCCTTACCCCTAGAACATTTCAAGGATGGATGAAATTCTTGGATGTGCTTGGCACTATTTTGAAGACTCTATCACGGTTATAATTCTTACCTCTGCCATATTCCTTTTCCCAACCCTCTGCAGGTATTTAAAGCAGGACCAGGTGAATTATCTCATTTAATTTGCTTATTAACTCTAAGATAAAGGTAGCATAATCCCATTTCATAAATGAAGAAACCGAGGCTCAAAGAGGTGAGGCAAATGGCACGTGAGAGGATTATGAATGAACAAATGAATGAATAAATGCATGAGGAGAAAAATGATATAACGAGTAGGCTTTAGGTTACGTGTTTATAGAGATCGACTGTCATGCCACGCGTGGAGACTCAAAGGGGCACAGGCAGTGGGGATGGGGCAGGAGATGGCTCGTCCATACCTTGCAGCCCTCACAAGTGATACAGCGGTAGTGATAACCGGTTGCCTTGTCCCCACACACGACACACTGCTCGTCTTTGTCCAGGTAACTAGGGATATACCCTGGGAAGGGGGAAAGGGTGGAGGCAGTGGGCATGGTGTGGAGCCCGGTAGAGGAACTTCTATACTGCACCCACCCCCATCTTTGCCTTTCTCATTCTTCTCTTAGCCCAGCTCCACTAAAGCGTTCTTTACCGCCAAGTAGACAGGAAAAGTCCTGGAGACATATAGTGGGGGGGATTGTCCATCCCTTCCCTTCTAATATATGGAATCTTCATTCTGACTGCCCATTCAGTGGCCCTCCCCGCTCCTCCTTCCATGTATGTATTTATTCTTGAACCTGGGTTTTACTATATTGCCCAGGCTGGTCTTGAACCCCTAGGTTCAGGTGATCCTTCTATGTCAGTATCCCAAACAGCTCTCTCTAACTGCAGGTAGGTGCCATTGCACTTGGCCTGGCTAGGACTTTTTATTTTTCAATGTTACATCTAAGTGACAGGATAGCATAGGGAGTTAGGAGAAGAAACGCCCCCCCCCAGGAGAACAGAAAGAACCTTCAATGGGGAGGTTATAGGAGGGTGAAAGAGGCCCTTCCTGACCTAATTCCTCCTTAAAGGCCAGGATACATTTTGAATCACCATTCTCACCCCTATGCAAATCCAACCCATGTTCTGTAGGCTGTTCCCTCTAGAGACATAGGAGGTCCAGGCCCAGCCTTGGAGGAGCCAAGTGTGCTCTTGTAGGGGTGAGGGTAGGGAGAGGGGCATGTGTAGCCAGGCTCACCTGACATGCTGGTTTTCAGGGAACATTGGCCGTTCTTTCTTTTTCGCTTTCCATCTGGTGACCTGGCACTGCATGGGGCAAAGCGAGAAGAATCACAGGGTAGCCTTTGGACAGTCCCTTCTCATCTAAGAGGTTCCAAAACCCTCCATGTCTGGCTCCCTCTGTCTTAAGTCCTTAGTCTACCTCCTACCCCTACATCAACTGACAAAGCTTAGAAGAGTCTAGCCAGCTATCTGGTAGCTGCATGGGAGAGATAAGGGGCTTAAATGGGGACAAAATTATGCTTAGGGCCCCAACACATTCACACAGACAAGTATTGCTATGAGACTCCAAAATTCACACATGTCTCACATATAAGCAGCGTTCTAAAGTCCACATACACATACACATTTCACCCACAATCTATAGGACACTCACATAGTTAAGCCTTCAATTTATGCCAAATATGCTGAAATGCTCCTTGGAATATTCTTAAAGCTATGTAACCTTTAGTATATATATATATATATATATATATATATATATATATATATGCAACATGACACCCACGCATGTGAATAACTATGCAGCCTTCAGTATAAACCCAAATATGGTAATAAGCTTTGGGATCTACAAACTCATGCAATTTTCAGGGCATTCTCGGATGACTTCTAGGATGTGTCCATGTGTTGTAGAAGCCCCTGGACAGGCACCTACTACTGGTGCCATGCTCTCTGCCATGTGAACATGTTGCTTAATGTCTAAGGCCATGCACACATGCTAAATAACCCATGCTGACCCTGTTCAAGGCCTCCATATGTCAAATCAGAAAACTGAGGCGCCATTCATGCATTGTGACACCAAGCACCTGGAACCAGCCAGGGAAAGGGCCGAGCTGCCCCATCCAAGGTATTATTAGCAACTGTCAGCCACAGCACATACATGTTGCCAGATTTCCCACATATGTGTTACGTAACCTCAGTACACACGGGTTACATAAGCCTCTACGCATGCAAGGATTGTATAACCTTCCACACCCACCCTGTGTCTGACATGTTGCAGGGCTCCTCCTCCTACAGCCTGATGCAGCTCCCAACACACTGACACAGTGACCTTGGCCAGGGTCACGGTCATAGACAGCCTTGTGCTTCACACACCCTGGGGATTACCCCTGTCTGTTTCCTACAAGGCTAGAAGGTCAGGCTTGCCTGCTGCCTTCTGTGTGTGAGTGCAGGCGAACTCAGGCCACCTGGGGCCCAGTTGACCAGGCAGCTTTGGCTATCACCAGACTAGAACCTCTGGGTGCAGTTCCACATACAGCCACAAGGTGGCGCATAGCCATGGGGGAGGGGAGGGCTCCAGAAGTGGTGCCTCAGCTCTGAGGGACTAAGAATCTCATTCCTACCTTTTTACAAGACCTTAGAGCAGGCTCGCCCATAAACCTGGGCAGGGAAGTACAGGAGATGTAAGTGACAGTTTACATGGTGACAGTCTGTCTCACAGTCTAAGCGTGGTACGGTACGTCGGCTTTGGGAGAGCGGGCTTATCCAGTGCCCCACCTACACAACCACAAACTCCATCCACCATTTCTACCCCTCCAGGAACCAGTCTTGAACACAAGGGCTTTGCCTGGTCGAGCTTCCGGCCTTCTGGCTCAGGATCTGATCTCCTAGACAACGGATAGCTACACTGCTCCTCAGAGCACCCCACCCCCACTATTTCCCTGGCCATAGGCACAGGCTGTACCCAGCTCCTGGGACACCATGCCAAACGGGACAGGGTTCTGTGCCACTTGGAGCGGACCTGGAAGACAGGGACCCTCTGAACTGATCTAGGTTAGCGCAGATAAGAGGTAACCCCTCCCTGGTTGCGTGTACAAGGTGACGCCTCATCCATGTGTAAGGAAAACTTTCATGTGCCATGCACTTCCACTTCCTGGGAGGAGCCCCATAGCAGCGTCCGCCTTTGACCATGAACAAGGAAGAGTGTGTGGAGTTTCCAATAGATTCCAAAAATAAGTGTGGGTTGTGACCAATAGTTATTGGTGCCTGTACCCGGAAATGTTATGTTATATGCACCATGGCTTGTGGACAAGCATGCTTGTTTGTGGTCAGATGGTGGATGGACTGGTAGGAAGAAGAAGAAAATGGCAAGGCCATTGGGATCACACACGCTCAAGTGAGGGCAACAGTGGTTGGAGAGGGGACGATGGGGGGCATTTGAGACCACCCAGCACTTCCAAGGAAGGGGCCACGTGTCTGTTGCCTGTAATGACTGTTTCCTATCGCTTCCTCCTTTTAAGTGAGCATCTGTCAAGCCAAGTGCCTATTCCCTGAGACATGTATACATGTCCTCAGCCCCTGGACAAAGGTAGGCAGCAGGCCTGCTGGCCTCATGTCCATATTCAGGTGTACTTAAAAGAGACCAGCTCTCCTAAGCCCAGAAAGCTGTCCATGCCTGTTGCTCTGAGTAGGTACAACCAGGTTGCCAGATCCATTCATTACCTGTTCTCCTCTGGGTCTGACCCACACTCCACCTTGCTTGGCTTCTGTTCCATTCACTTCAGTTCCATCCAGGACGCCCTCCAGCACGCCAAGAGACTGGGGTGGGCACACTGCCCGCCCCCCACGCCCAAAGGCCACCCACCCCCCGCCACCCAGGCCCTAGGGCACAGCACCCATGGTACCCGCCTCAGTACTCAGCCTTTCACACCATGCCCTGCGCCCCAAGGGGTGAGGGCGGGTGGTGGGAGGGGCCAGGGAGTGGCAGGTGGGAGAGCTAGGGGCAAGCTGGGGTGGTGAATAGCACTGGGTTAGGGGCTGGGAGGGTCCTCAGAGTCTTGTCCTGTCTGGAGATATCTGTGGAGAGAAGAGAGAGAGGCAGGGATAAGAAGTTGCCATTGGGGTGGGTAAGTGAGCAAGAGTTAGGGGAAATATTTAGTGGCTATCTGGGGCCTGTAGCAAATGTCAGAGGGCATGGAGGGAAGGTCCAGGACTAGGGCCAGAATAACCTTTTATCACAGGTACAGTTGGAGAGCTACAGCACAGGCCCCAGACACAGGGAGGGATGAAGGGAAAGAATGAGGTCATCTACGCGGCAGGGAGCAAGTCTCAATATTCACATTCAAACAAATGCCTGGCCTTTTATGAGCGCCTATTAAATATTAGCTATTGTTACCACCCTTTACCCAAGATTTCTTAGGATTTATCAGGGTTATAGGGCAAGAGGGGATCAGAGACACACGTTTGAAGCACAGGCATAGCGGGGAGTCCCCCACAAAGGCAGGGTGGGGCAGAGGGATAGCAGTAGGGATTACGAAGGTTCCCACTAAGTGTCTTTTGGGGGCCTAGCAATTCTGGGCGGTCCCAGGGCCTTGTGTATGCTAGGCCAGTATCATTCCTCTGGTTTATGTCCCTCGCCCACTCTTTTTTTTGGTTTTTCGAGACAGGGTTTCTCTGTGTAGCTTTGGAGCCTATCCTGGTACTAGCTCTGGAGACCAGGCTGGCCTCGATTTCACAGAGATCCGCCTGCCTCTGCCTCCCAAGTGCTGGGATTAAAGGGGTGCGCCACCAATGCCCGGCCCTAGCCCACTCTTAAAGGAGAGGGACAACAAATGCAAATGGGAACTGACTCTCTCTGCTCTCAGGGCATTAATGAAACCCCAACTCTTACCCCTCGAGGATTTTCTTTCTTTTTCTTTTTCTTTTGAGACCATGTTTTACTATGTAGCTCTAGCTAGCTTGGAACTCACTATGTACACCAGGTTGTCCTAGAACTTACAGAAATCCATCTGCCTATGCTTTGGGGGCTGCTGGGAGTAAGGGTGTATTGGCCCCATGTCTGGCCCCTTTAAGAGTTCTTAAATCTCTCACAAGTCCCAAAGCCCAGTCCAGTTTAAGAATGAGAATTAGCTGGTTTAGCTGACTGGCTGCCATTCATCAGGATGGGAAAAGGAAGGAAACCAACACATGTTGCTGTTGACTGAATAGATATGATGGTGCCTTCTGAAGGGGACTCGAGAGCTCCGCAGACGGAACAGGCAGGCATGTGTGTCATCCCAGCACTTGGAAGCTAGAGGCAGGAGGATTAGAAATTCAGAGTTGGCTGGGCGGTGGTGCACACCTTTAATCCCAGCACTCGGGAGGCAGAGGCAGGCGGATCTCTGTGAGTTTGAGGCCAACCTGGACTACAAAGTGAGTTTCAGGATAGCCAGAGATGTTACACAGAGAAACCCTGTCTATAAAAACAAAAACAACAAATAATAA